GCATCAATCGCAATCATAGGGCTTAGCCGCGTGCTTATTCATTGAACATCACGAAGAAGTATGCTTATCAAAGCTTCACGCGCGTCACTCTCTACTACATTTCAAAGATGGCCGATCAAAGGCTGACAAAATATATTTTGCGGATAATTTTTCTTGGTCTTGTCATATTTGACGAAAGTAGGTGCAGGAATCACACACTGACGATAAAGGTAAATGATTTATTTGTGTGATATGAATTTAAACGTATAGTTTAACACTGCAGATAGAAGAACGATTCAGACTAATTCAACCTCCAGCTGCTTCCACGTAGAGCATAGTGACAAACGTGTTGTATGAGTCATTTTGTTATGATCAGTTCAAGAGAAAAAGAAAAAAGTACATAAACTCTTGAGAAGAAAAGGAATTTAGAATTATTTGACAGCTTGCAATTATAATACTTATTAATTCAGTTTTCAACATGGGCATATATCTGTATTTCCTCTTTCGTTTAACAAAGTTTTCAGGTTAAGGTTTTACAGTTAATCAATTTTAACGCTTTTGAATTTTCATTAATTGCACCTAATTTGTTGTAAATATAGCCTTTACCTGTAGTACTGGTTGATACAATTGAGCAAAGTAAATAAAGCGAGTCAGTTTTCTGTTAGAATGTTCACTATCAGAGGGGGTCTCTGAAAGTCATCACAATTAAAACTTTAAATCAATTAATTAAGCCATTTGAAAAAAGAAAGCATTATATATCAAAATAAATTAAATTTCCTTAACCATATTGTGAAATCAAATTATCCTTTCTTACTCAAACTTAACAATTAATTTTCCCAACTGCCACATGTTGCCCAGTTACCTGTGGTATTTTGCTGTAAATAAACTGTTGTTTCAGAATGACAAGAGAGCTCAGTTTGTGTCCAGCACTTTTGGCTTCCTGCAAGGTGGCTACCTCGATGTCAACATGACCACCTTCACCTACAGGATGGACAACTCCTTGAAGCTGCAGGAAGGAACAGTAAGAACTAGCGTTGTTTCCTAAATCATAGGACTGATAGAATATAATGTAGTTTTTTTAGCTGTTGTAGATGTCTTACATACTTATTTATGTGGAACAATTTTCAAAGAAAAAAGCTTGAAAAATTTTCCTAATTTTGGAATCAAATAAATACATTCTGTGTTTTTGAGTTTTTAGCATAGTTATTGATTAAGTTGAAGTGGATGTCTGAAAATGTTATGAATACTCATACCTACTTTTTATTTCAGTTTGGCTTTACCCTGGATAAAAGTAGCAGCAGTGGTATCTCCAGTTACTGGGTAAGTTAACACATATATGAGGGCATTCCCAGTGATTAAGATCGGTCTTACTAGATCGACATAACTCCCTGGGGGTTAACGCTAAATTGCAGTCAGCCGACCGCGCATGGAAGTTAATTACCCCCCTACAGCTTGTAGTAGGCAGGATGGACATTTAAGCTGGATTATCTGACAGTAATCTAGAGAGACTCCACACGGGGATAGATTGATCTAAAATCTATGGGAATGCACCCTATAGGGCACTCTGTGGTATTTCTTGTATGACAGATGGAATCTTTTTAATGGCATTTTATGGGGAAACCCTGATACATACATCTATAATTGAAATTTGGCAGGGGCATTGTATATATCAGCTCATGAGGCTGTCATTTACAGGTGTTTTAAAAAACCTGTGGTTATCACAAATGGGGACGTGCTTAAATGATAACATTACTTACACTGAAATATCAGTGGAACAGTTCAGATTTTTTTTTTTTTTTTTCAATATGAAAATGTCATTAGCTATACATCAAACCTCCTAAATTTTCAATTGACTATATTCATAAGTATAAGCAAGGAGTTATAAGAGACTTTCTCTTTATAACTCCTTTGTATAAGCAAGTATAATGTTCAAGATCAAAGTCCAACTTATTAATAATACTGTAAATATAGGAAAATTTATATGCCTTCTCTGTTTGTGATAAAATAGAAATAATTCATGTTTTCAGGAAAAACAAGAGCAAACAGCTTGTATACTAATGGATAGCACAGATAAAGAGGACAAGAATGTGGCCGTCACCTTCTTCAAATTTGACTTGGATAACAGAAGGTTGGTTTCAGTTTTTAAACTTTGAATATAAAGCCAGGCAAAGTTGATTTAAGTTGATTAAGGAGTGGTAACTCTAGACAAGTTTGGTAGACTTAACTTATTTGGTAGACCTAACTTATTTTGTTTTAGTAGTAAGCACATGGTTTTAAATGAGCATAGCAGGTAAATTGTATTGTCAGTCTTTTCATTTCAGTCAGAAGTAATAAATAACAGTCCTGGTGGCTTGGAATCAGAATTCCCCTTTTCCACTTCTAGGTAGAATTAATATAAATGGGCATGTTAGAGCAATTTTATTGGATAAGTTTTATACAATTTTTATTTCATTTTCATTTTCAGAATTACCATACAAAGAGTTGGAACAGACGTGCAGAAGTTGACCATCAAGGTGACCTCTCCAGGGACATCCTCCTCCCCAGGGGTGTCCTCCCCAGGGGCGTTTTCCCCAGGGGTGACCACAGCCGCAGGTTCTCACAGCAGAAAAAGAAGAAAGGTAGAAGCACAAGGAACGACAAAGTTCCACGACAGAGTTGGTAATGACACCAAGACAGTTACTGGAACAACAAAACATGCTCTTGTTAAACCTACCCCAACTACCAAGAAAGTATTGATAACCCCAAGTCCCTCACCTGCCTCAGCCCCTGCTCCCACTCAAAGCAAGGCAGTAGCATCTACTGTAAGTATCTTTACTAAGGCAAGATTATAGCTCAAAATCCGTCTTGTAACTCTTGAAGTATTACATCTAGTTATAATATTAGTGACTGTTGATATATATATATAATAGTTATCTTAATGCACGTCAAGTTTAATTTTTGTGTAACTTCACTAACCAGATATATTGCTTCGTTTCCACTACCAAGAATATTTTCTTCATGGATGGGTGCTAACTGTATTAATATCAAACTTCCAGGCAGCCACTGAAGCTCCCAGTGTAACAGAAGCCAGTAATGACACAAGTGAGAGCACTGCTGAGTCAGCAGCTAAACTGGTAAACTCAATACCTTTGAATGAAGTAGAGAATGAGAAAGGAGAAATGATCTGGCAGGCTTCTGTAAGTATTGCACTTTGAAATGAATTTATCTTCTACTTATAAATATCTTTTTTTGGTAGCACATAGTTTTGTGAATAACATGGATGGAAAATTATAAGGCTGATGAAACTGAGACATACCAAGACAAAGACATATATTTCCTTATATTTTAGAATTCATTTTCACACGTTTTGTTCATATATATTCCAGTTCCGTGTTGAAATCCATAACCCAGAAGAAGAGGGACTGTATAACTTGTACTTCCACAGCTGTCCTAATACTAACGATGAAGACAAAGCTGCAATCAATTTGACGGTTAGTTTGATGGTTAAAATTCCTTATGGAGCACAATACACTGCAGTGCCTAAAGATCTTTTTTAAGGTGTTATTTTATTAATCACTGAAAAAACAATGGTTACAAAGAAATGCATATGATTGATATATTTAATAGACCCATCCAACATTTTAGTGAGGCAAATTTCATTCAAACACCACCAGAGTTTGGATTTGACAAAAGGCATTTATGAAAAAACTGTCGGCACTGAAACCGAGGCCTGGCTTTCTTAATGGTGCCCCAATTTGTGACCCCCTCACTGCAGCAATTAGATGTTTTAACATCTAATTAGTTAAAACTAAAAACTAGATGTTCTCTTTCAGCTTCATATTGTGGAGAGGAACCCGGATAGTTTCCTGTCAGTTGGAAATGTGCCACTTCCTACTCTTTACTTCTCATTCTGTGTTCTGTACCTATTGACCAGCTTTGTCTGGCTCTACATGCTCAGGAAGTCCAAGTAAGTAGAACACGGGCTTTAATCAAGAATTCTGCTTTTTAGTTATGTAGAATATGACAACTTCATATAGCTTACTCTCTGTTTTTGAAGATTATTTTCCTTACTACAATCATCTCTTTATGATTTGTTATACCAAGATATTATATTTATTTTACTATTTTTTCTTTATATATGTCTCTTATATTGATTTGTTTCTATCATAAATTTCAGTATTGAATATTTGATTTATATATGCTGGGGATGAACAACACATTTTTTATACTAATTTGTTTTATTCCCATATATCTGTTATGTCAATTTATCTATTGCTGGTAAGACAAGTGTTTGTATTGAATGTTTGAGTTATATTTGTTAATTATTAAAAAGATGCACTGCTTTGTTTTGCAGGAGTGAAGTGTACAAGATCCATTACCTGATGTTTGCCATCATGATTGTCAAATCTGTCTCTTTCCTGTTCCATGCTGTAGGTAGACATGAGTGGATGGTATTTTTGTCTTTATCAGAAACTGTATCTGTGTCATTTATAAAGGAGCACAATATAATGCATAGATATGATTAATATAAATGCCTCTGAAAATAAGGTACTCTCTTATAGGACAGAGTGAATGCTATTGCAGTACATCTTAATATTCTCTATAGAAATCTATGTGAAATGACCAAAAGACTCAGTGTAATTTTATATCCAGTCATATAAGGCTGTCAATAGGTTGGCAATACCTAATTGACATAAAATGCATACCATTGCAAATGACTGACTTATATTCATGTTTTATATTTTGTACTGATTAAGTCCTTTTCTTTCAGATTAACTACCATTTTATTGGTAAGCTTGGTTACCATGAAGAGGCTTGGGCTGTATTGTACTACATCACACACCTGTAAGTAACATTGAACATTGTACATACAGGAATTCTGTATGATTGTTTTACACTCAGCACCTCTAGGCACAAGCCCACGGCAATAGCCTACCCAAGAGACACTGAGCTAGTATAAAAGTTAATATTATAATAATTATATACACTACCAGCCAACTTTTAGACCCTGATTGCCCAAAAGGCAAGTAGCATTAGGCTTATTTGGCACAGACTGGTATTATAAAACAAAGTTGGTCTTTTTTTAAATAAAATTGTAATAGAGATTACAGGAACATTTATTTATTTATTTATTTTTGTAAACAATCTACCAGTATTAAATTTCTTTTCAGGTTGAAAGGTGTCCTTCTGTTCACTGTGATTGCTCTGATTGGCGCAGGTTGGGCCTTTGTCAAACACATGTTGTCAGACAGAGACAAAAAAATCATTCTGGTGGCAATTTCTTTACAAGTGAGCTCATGTTTATTTACTTGTTACATAGTCTTTCTCTTATACTTACTATGCTTGTGATGTGCAGTCAATGCTCACGTAATATGACTAGACATATATTTTGCAATCTTTTATCTACAAGTATATAGTTAGTTAACAAGCTTAAAGTCCTTAAAAAGCATGTGGCTGAAATAGCCTTGGTTTGCATCTTGTTAGGAGAGGATTAAGTCTGCAACCTGCAATGGTACAGGCTATCTAATAAGAAAATTCTGATTTCCGAGTCAAAGAAATTCCCTCTTACTGTCTCTTTAATAAGCTCAGTATTGTACAGTCATCATTTTCCATAAATTAAGTAATGCTTTTTTACTATATGGAGATATACTGGTCTGTGTTTCAGGTTTTGACTAATGTGGCCCAGATTATATTAGAAGAAACTGAGGAGGGCTCTCAAGTGTACTCTTACTGGAATGAGATACTCATTTTAGTGGACTTACTGTGCTGTGGAGCCATACTTTTCCCTGTAGTGTGGTAAGTCAGTCTCTCTCTCTCTCTCTCTCTCTCTCTCTCTCTCTGTGTTTTGTAATACAATACAATTTTTTAATTCACACATGGTCTCTACATGCACCTTTTAAGAGATGCTCACATCTTATTTCTAGGTCAATTCGTCATCTGCATGATGCCTCACAGACTGATGGAAAAGCAGCCATGAATTTAAATAAACTTAAATTATTTAGGCATTTTTACATTATTGTAAGTATAATACCCACCCAGGGTTAGCTAGTTGGCAGTTTACTGAAATTTATTCAGGTATTCAACCCTGTAAAGCTCTTCCCACGCAAGTTATATTTAGAGAAATTAGAGGTTTAAGTTTTTATGATTGGTATTTACATATTATTGATATTACAACTATTTATACTTAGATATTTATCTGAGGTAGCGCTAGCTATTTTTTCACTTAGCCAAATCACTACTTTTTCATTACCTTTTTCACAAATTGGTTTAAATTTGACTAAAACAAGGTCAAATTAACCTATTTTGTTTAGCCATTTTAAGTCAGTTTTAGCATTTGACTAAACTTGCAAGTGTTAGCGCTACCCCAGTTTATATTTAATTTTTATGCTGATGTTTTGCAAAATCCTACATTTCAGGTTGTATGTTATATTTATTCCACCAGGATAGTTGTATATCTATTAAAGGTAAGAGTTCACTTCTTCAGATACCCGTTATTGTTGTCACCTTGGTTAATGGTTAGAAATAGTGTGATTTTTAATATATGGCAAAGTCTTTGGAATTTTAAGGCAAATTATTTTAAGAAAATAGGTATAAAAAGAGTTTTAGCCCATCAGGTTCTCAGCTCAGCTGCCTTCCTTATGGCAGTAGTTGTATTTTTAGTTATGAGTTGGTACCAGAAAGAATATTTCCATTGTGATTGATTTTAATATGTTTCCTCTCTGTTTTAAGATTACAGTACCATTCCATTACTCATGGTTCTCAGAGTTGTTCATTGAGTTGGCCACATTCATCTTCTTTGTGATCACTGGCTACAAGTTCCAGCCAGCTGATAACAACCCATATCTACAAGTGCCAACGGAGGAGGACGAGGAACAGCTGGAGATGGAGGAAGTGTGAGTATGGAGCTCTTAGAGGGAGTGGGGG